CCTCCTCTTCCTCCTCTCTTTCTCTTCTCATGGTTAGTCATATATTTTTTCTCATCTCCACACTGGGCTGGTCCTCCTCCCAGGATGCCCTGCTCTTTGCGATTGTGTCAGGAGTAGTCAACCAGGTCTTCCTCTGGCTCAGGGCCAGTTTCACTCTCACTGGGTTTCACTGTAGCCGAAGATTGGCAGGGAGGCCTGGGAATCAGCAGGTGCACAGACAGGTCTGCCTGGCTGAGGACAAAGCCTATTGGCTCAGTGTTGCTGCTCCTCGGTCACCCAGATTGGCAGTTTGAACAGTTATGCTTTTGGGGAGACTTGGCACAGCTCACAGTGTCTCTTTCACACGGACAAAAAAAACCTCTCTGTTGTGATTTTTGTTGTTGTTTGGCACTTCTAATTTACTGGCTGGTGTGTTTGTGAGAACATGTGATAGGTGTGTGTATGTGTGTGTGTGTGTGTGTGTGTGTTATATTATTATTAGGTGGCAGTGTTCAAAATTAAGGTTGAAGACAAAAATGACAAAACAAGAAAGTGGTGTTCATTTTGCCATTTATTGATTAGTAACTCAATATTTTAGTTGACAAACATGTTATGGCTATAAAATATTTAAATTGCCCACCACATTTCCCATGTCATTCACAAAAAGAGTTAATTTTCATAACAAAAGATCTGTCAGTCATTAACTGTGCAAGTCTAAAAAAACATAAACTGTCAAAAGATAAACTGTCAGTTTCGGTATCAAGCAAAGCCAGTGAAAATTGTCCTAGTTCCTGACTGTGACTATGCCTGGAGGCAACAACGATTATTTCTGTCCCATAGTCAACAGCTTTAGTTCGCCTCCATGAATCTGCTGGACCAGTCATTCATGCAGTTGAGTAACATATGGGGAGGGTAATGTGCACCTATATAATATAAAATATATTTAGAAGCTTTTGCTAATTTACATGAACAGGACACTCAATTGTCATGTCTAAGGGTCTGAAATACACCTGGGTCATTCAAGGCATTATCACATACACTTCTTCCCACTGAACATTGTCAGTTTTTTCCCTTTATGTTAATCTGCAGTCATCAAGGGACAGAGTGACCGTCAGTGACCACACACGATCAAAGTCGTAAGTCGTGCACATCTAAAGTACATGCAGCTTTTGAGATGAGACGACTGAAGAGTACACTTAACACTCTGGGAACGACGATGTGATTAGCACTTCAAACAAGCTGTCTCTGGGTTCATCATGGCACTGACGACCCAAAGATATCCAGGACACTACCAGCTACCCCCAGCAAGTGTTGGTGTGTAATGAATGTTCTTTTCATGTGCTTTCACTGAATTCACAATCATGTTGTGAGAGTACTTTGTTGATTGACTTTATTTTCCCAAAAGGACTGGCAGTGGAGGCGCATAAAGAGAGAATACACATTAAACCATACAATGTCCACACGTGACAGATGCCTCAGTATAGGCAACACTGTGCAGCACCAGTCTGCAAGTAGAAATATTAGCATAGGGCTAAATGAAAGAATACAGCAGTACACAACACGGACTAAAAACAGTCAACATACAAAGATCTACTATGTGCAAAGTTAAAGTTGAAATGAGTGTGAGCATCAGAGCTGCAACTCATACAACTGTGTTACAAAATGACAAACTATCAGTCGATCATTATAATTGTGTACAGTTGCTGCAACAGCTGCTAATTAACTAGAGTCAACTTAAAGTGTGTTCTTTTAGTGTACATATTCTAATAGACATATTTTATTTAAATAATACTTTTTTCAAAATACGTTTATTAGATTAGTCTGTAATTTACTTGTACAAACAGTATAACTTGATGTTGTTTATTATGAAATCATCAACTCCTCTGTAGTCAGACTGCAAGCTAATGAAAATCCAATGTAACCTGAGGAAAGTCTGAGTGATGGTTTAGTCACTTAAGGTGTCACACTCTTCATCAATCACAATCGGCGCACTGTCCTTTCTGCAGAACACATCTGCCAACGCATTCTCTGGAAGATCACCGCTAAACAACTGTATTATCTTTCCAGAATAGAGAGAAGGAGTGAGATTTTAACACCTTCCTTCTCATTTTAATTAAAAAAGCCAGTGTTTTAACTGTTGTGAGAAGTGCTGGATGTCTGGGTTGTGGAGTGACACAACTAGGTATCATTATCAAGTGTGAGATAAACATTGGTTGTGGATTTAAAAGATACTGAAAAAACCTGTATTTTCGGTTGTGACAAAAGTCCAGGTGTAAGTTTAGACTGGTGTACGTGCATAAAGTCCACATTTTTGCAGAGTAAAGTCATCCTGTGTGTGACTTTTGGCCTGTTCAGATTGCTGATATTAATGTTTTAAATATTTCTGTGAGAATAAAATACAGAAAATCTAAATACGTCAGAATATAAAGTTTTTGCACACTTGCCTTGGGAGGGTAA